TCAAAAAAAAAAAAAAAAAAAAAAAAAAAAAAAGGTAACAAATTTTCCTATTACATTTTAGCTAGAACTAGACCTATGGATAGGAGTGGTGTTTCCCATTGCTGTCTTTTTGTAAGCTGCTTACTATGGTCTCAAACTTCATATGTTCTGGAAGTTAGGGAAACTCAATCAACGTTTAAAAAGTAAAGGGTTGTTTTGCCAGAACAGGGCCCATTGAAGGACATAAGCCAAGAACAAAAATAGTGCTACTGACTATATACAGAATGCTTTGAAAATGCACAAACTTCAAAAATCGCCCTTTAATTTTTCAGTTACATTAATAAGAGAAGATAGTTGTCCATGTGAATTTTCTGCTTTTGTTACATGAGATTTTCAAGTTGATTGTATCCCTTTAAAATAAGAAACTTAAAGGGCCTCCACACAAATAAATAAAAAGGTTATCTTCTAGGCTCTTCCAGAAATTCTACAATCTCAGAGAATCAATTATTGTTTTATGTGTAGATATATAGGTGTATGTTTAGTACATAAAAATATATATTATGAATAGAACATAAAAATGCATTTTTTACTCTGAGACTACCAGCAGGTTGCACAGCATTAACAAATGTGTCAAGTTTTAAAGGTACTTCTCCCTCCCCCATTTCATAATCTCAGATGAAGACAAAAAAAAAATGCTGACGTAACACTGGACTGATTAACGCACACGTTTCTACCACATCAGTCATTGGATGACTACAGCGACCACGAGAGAACCCTAATTTCCTTTAGATCATTTCTCTCTCAAAGACATCCGAAAAGAAGGTACAGTGCAGTAACCCACTTCCTATTGACAATTGCACTGTGCAATAGTAACTTTCTAAAACGACTTTTCCCCCCCCATCATGAAGTCAAAATAAAACAAAATTTTCACTGTAAAAACATCTTAAAATAGTTAAGTACTGTTAATTTGTATATCCGTGCACGCTAAGTGCAAAAACTGACTGCGCAAAGTTAGGGTTGGAGAGAAACTACAAAATGTTTGGAATTTCCTAACATTCAGCTTTTGCTTTTTGCTGAATCCACGTGAGGGAAGCTGTTCTAGTTCTCCCTCATATGACACTTGTACATATTCCAATAGGGGACACTGAAAAAGGGGCAGCAAGACATCACTGATCAGACTGTCAGCCAGTGTGTTTAACTTATGAGCATGTGTAGTTAAAGCAAGCTGCAATGCCCTACACCTAGATTCTTTTAACCTAAAAAGAAACCATTGATGTATTCCCAGTCTGACTTGCTTACTTTTGGGACAAAAATAAGTTATTACTAATTTTGCTCCTATCAACAGTGCAATGGAAGAGTCAGCTAAATTCCTTTTCTAGCTCCTGCACCAACTAAACTGGTCAGCCAAATTCAGAGGACATAGTTCCACTTCTTTTGTTCTTTATTATATTAGAAATAAAGAATTTAAAAAAGCATTTCAATTAGTCTTATTGCCCCTCAGTGTTTTGTCTTAGCCCTTGTCTCCAGGGCTTCACAGTCCTTACAGCCCTCCCTGCTGAGGCTTTCCCTCCATCCAGATCTTGCTCTCTACAGACTTCTCCATCTCAGGTCTTCCACTTGATCTGAACGGAGATTGCTCCTCCCAGGTCCTTCCACAATTCTCGGTCTCTTGACCTGTTCTCCTGCACGAAAGGCAAGCAGCCTTATATGCAATTTCAGAGAGAACATATAAGTAGGAACAAGAATGTGACTTACAACTACAGCTCTCAGTTTTAAAAGGCTTACTCAGGGGTGTGCACAGAGGGGTGGGGAGGCGCAAGCAGGGGCAGCCTCCCCCCCCAAATAGTGGTCAGGGGCACAGAACTTCTTCAGCCCCGGGGCCATAGAGGCAGGGAAGATCAAGCTCCTGGCCGGGGCTGGGTGGAGCGAGGGAAGATTGAGCTCCTCCTGGGACCAGGGGAGGCAGTGAGCTTCTGTGCTTCCCCCCACCCCCCGCAAGGGGTCAAAATTAAAATTCCTGAGCACACCCCTGGCCACTTACATGTCCCAAACCCAGTGCCTATTTCTAAATGGTATGCCTAACAGGATAGCAAGATATACAAAAAGTCACTGCAAACACACAGTAGCCTACTTCCACAATGGTTAGCATTATGAATTTACTATTTGTGCATTCACAGGATATCACAGCTCCTTTATGCAGATTAAACAAAACAAGAGCATCTACCACAAATTGAGTCAAGTGACAATATCCAAAAGAGCCTCAAATCCCAGAAAGCATCCTGCACTTTCCACATCCAATAGTTAAATAAAGTGGAAATCTAAAAAAATGTTAAGATTTGAAATCTGAAAGAACAGGGATTTCAAAATATCAAGATTCCATCCTTTAGAAGTTCCACATCTGGACACATAGAGCTAAAAAATATACATACTACATATTCAGCACTTGATAAATCTGGATATCTCTGAATTCAGACAAGTAAAGCATTCATACCAAAACCAAAGTACCACCAACTCTCAGCCACTAAAAAGGATTAAGTGGAAAGATCTAGCAATGGACAGAAGGAAAGCATTCTGCTCCTCCTGCAGTTCTGAAGGATTGAAATGCAGAAGTAGGCTTCCTGTTCCCTTGAAACCCACTAAGGATAGAGGGACAAGAGATGCGTCACAAGAGTACTTTTAAACACATTTTTGGGAAGTAGATTTGTGTCAAAGTGACTGATCCTGTACCTCCACCATCCTTCCCAAAAAAAGTCAAACTGGCTCCCAGAAGCAAACAGAAGAATGTATAGCCTTTTATATCTCCAAAAGACAAAAGGAAAACAAGGTGAAAGACAAAAAAGTTGCTATTGTCATGAAGACATTTCACTAGGATCTTTTGGTTTTGAAGTAAACCCTCAATTCCATGCAATCTTGATTTTAATAAGAGCCAAAATATATGATTTTTTGCACAGCTTTACCTGCAGAAAGCTCAGTTATAGCTGACTATATTAAATGCATCTTCAAAAAGCAATAAGTAGTGCTGGGGAGGAAATAATGAACTGGGAAACAACCACCAGATGCATATTGAATTTTGAGCCTTTGTAAGAGAAACGCCTTTAAACTGTGCACTTGTATTCTCCTTTGCAAGTACGTTTTCTAAATTACTAAGCATTATAATAATAATCAGAGCTAATAGCGACAGCTCAAGATAGGACTGCTTAATATTTCCCCTTATAAAGCCATTTTTCAATTGCTTATAACTTTGTTAAACTGTTTGGTGGAAGTTTTTCATGCTTGCTCTCTGCCCCAGGCAAAGCTTTCTTTTCTAAAGATTTCAGTGAAAACCATTCAGCTATTTTGAAGAATTCGGTTTGGCAAAGCTATTATCTATATTAAAATTTCCATCAATTTCAGTGAAGAACACAGTGCCTCTGTGCTTTGGAGCAGAAATGTAAGTTTAGCATATAGACAGTCCTGGTGACAAAGGTATCTTTTGCTGTCATGATAATCCATCCACATTTAGCAGTTATGTCTCTGGAAATGGCAATCTGCATATGCTCATTGTTAGAGACCTATTGCTAAAATTTCAGAACATGCCAATTCCGCTGAGCATGCTCCAGTCCCACTACAAGAGTGAGAGTTAGACCTTTAGGTGGGGAGATGAAACAACATCAGTCCCAGCTATTCTTCCCTTTAAGTCAAAGGTGCATTGAGTTGGGAGCCAGGAAACCATCATAAATCCTAGTGTCAGTTCTTATACCAACTAGTGTTAATTCTGTGCACTTCACAGATGTTACAATTAAACAAGGTCTTAAACCCTTATGTTAGGGTATGTCTACACTGAAACACTGGATTTTTCACACCCCTGAGAGATGTAGCGATGACGATGTAAATTCCCAGTGTAGACCAGCCCTTAGGAGATACCTTCTTTGTATAATAAAGAATAGCTAATAGACATTGTACAAAAAGTTACTTCTAACAAAGCTTGAGCATAGCCCAGCCCAGCCCCACTGCCTTTCAGAATGTGTGTACCAAATTTATGCCCTTGCTGTGTTGCCCAACTAAACACTAGACCACATTGCTCTGCAGAGCAAGACAAAGCAGGCACTCCCAACTTTCAACATTCTCTTGGTACTTAGCAACTAGCTATTTAAGCTACTTGCAAAAAGTAATGCCTGTTGGGACTAGGGGCTGGTTCTAACAGAGACTAAATAGTTTCTGCTGCCAGTTACTCCATTAGCTCTTTAGAAGTGTGTACTGTGTATTTAAAGGTGGTGGGTTCCAAACTTGCTAGTGACACATGCAAGGGTTAATGTGGTTCCACATGATGGAATTTGTTTTTTTAGTTTGCTCTTTTAAAAATCTAGGAGACTAGTGTTCTTGGGACATAGAAAAATATTATGTAAAGTTGCAAAGTCAAGCAATCAAAAGCTAGGAAAATCCAGTATTATGGTTATATGTGCAACCTTAATCCAGACCCATCATTTTTATCCAAGCACCACATTCTTTAGTTACATCATCACATAACACTTCTGATTTTGCATAACATGCACAGTGAATGAGGCGGAGGGTTGCAAGTAGGAAAAGGAAGTTCTCTTGTGTTTAAGGCACTAGACTGGGACCTGAGATAGCTGGGTTCTATCCTTGGCTTTAAAGAAACCTACTATGATGCTGAACAGGTGCATCATAATGCATGCACACTGAAGGGAGCCAGATTAAGGCAACCCTAAATCTGGCATTTCCAATTTGAGCACTTGACACTGCAATATTAGCATTCTTTAATTTATAGTCTTTTGTATACAATATTGAAAGACATCTAGCAGTTAGGGCACTGGACCACATGTCAGGAGACCTGGATTCTATTTAACTTCACCACTGAGTTGCTGCGTGTTCTTGGCCAACTCACTTCTCCGTTTTAGGACAGTGTCCCCTTCTGGAGATTATACTTACCTGCACTCTCCGTGGTAAAGCACTGAGATCTACAAGTGAAAAAGCACTTATACCACAATTATCAAGCTGTATTCTGTTTTATGTCACTATGACATAACCTGAAGCTAAACTGAAGTCTCTATACCCTTATCCAACTAGTTGATGGTCAGGTCACAGCCACTCCAAAAGTATCTAATAGATGTACAAGGTAAGACACTCCCCCACCACACACACCCCTTATTTAAGTCTAAAATTTACTGCCAACCTTGCTCCCATTTTCATCTACTGCCCCAATCCGTCTGGCATGGCTATGTACTTCAGCACTGTCCATTAAAGTTTTCATTTTAACTTTTAAAATATGTATTGTGTACTCAATATTCCAAGTTTTACTTTTCATTATGTTGGGAGAGCCAAGAGACAGAGGAAGAAGCACTACTGTAAACTGTAACAGTAGTTACAGCTAAGCAGAAAACTATGAAAATCAAATTGCTATTCCCACCTAAGTAGTCTCCTGCTTAAGGACATGCTGGGCCAGGAGAAAGTCATTTTGAAATTAAACCAAAGCTGAGCCTTCCAGATAACTGAAAGTAAGTCCACACAGTCTCAAAGTGCCTGAGGCAACTGACTAGGGCTTGAACTGAGAGGTTAAAAATAGGAGGTTAGATGTTTGGGCACTGAGACCCTCCTCCCTTGCCAGGTTTCAGAGCCAAGGCTCCACCCCAAGCCCAAACACTGCTATTCTTTGCCCCACAAGCCCTAGTCAATTGACCCAGGCAGAGACTTGCTTTTGCAAGGGTTTTTGTTGTTGTTTTTTAGTTTGTTTGCTGTGTAGTTACTGTGTACCCAAAACAGACCACAAGTATTGGGTTATGTACAGTAGGGAAATTTTGGGAAGTTCCCACCAATGCCAACATCAGTTCAGCTCTGCCAGTGCTTGCAATGTTTGAAGTCCTAGCTACTGGCTGCCACTGGCACTTTCAGCCCTGTCAACCAGACCTGCTTTGAGCAGGATTAGAAGACACGGTGCTTAGACACCAACACCCAGTTTACATTAGGGCTCCTGACATGGATGGCACTCATGCAGCCTTTAAAAAAAAAAAAAATCTGTTTGCAATGCTGAAAAACTTTTGTGAAGTCTCCCTAGTGTACATATGGCCCCTACAATTAGGCAAATTCCAACACAGGCATTTAAAAAAAAAGTTTTGGTGATGCATTGTGTAGAAAATTACAACATAACCTTACTGGTTCTTTTAACAGTAAATCAAGCTCCTTTTAATGATTCATAAATATTCTTACTGTACTACTAGTTGCTGGCACACAGATCCATTATCTGTTATCAGTTCATTCAGTTTTAATTCAAGGTGAACTTTTCCCTGCAAAAAATAAAAATACCACATGTAAATATTTTTGAAATCCTTTATTTCAAAAGTAGTAACAGCACATAGGAAAGTAACTTGCACATACTTTTAAAATATAATTTATCCCTCTATATAAGATGTAGAACTTACTCAATTTAAAAAAAAAAAAAAAAAAAAAAAAAAAAACACCACCACACAGACATGCTAGCAGAAAATGGAGGTAAA